GGCGGCGTCGGCAGCGGCTGACGCTTGAAATGCTTCGTGATAGAGCGCGCGCGCAATGTACTCATAGATGTATCCCCTAATAGATGTCCAGAGCAACTGTAGTCGGCGAGCCGCTTAACCGCCGAGCAGGAGGTGCTGGTGCTGCTCCAGCAGTGCCCCGATCAACATTACGTAGCACCCCGCATTTGCGAATCAGAGTGAGGGGGCGGGCGCGGGCGACGCGGGCGTCGAGCCGGCGGGCCTCGCGGCCCTCGCGACTGCAAAAGAAGCTTGGAACGAAAGCAAAGGAGGTCGCAGGCGGGTCTCGGGCCGGGTCGCCGGCGGGTCGCGGAGAGGTTGCCGATGCAAAAGAAACCCGCCGCAGGCGCCGAAGTTTTGGCTTGCTCAGTGAGCGTAGTTTGGGTCGCGGGTGGGTCGCGGGCTCTCCATTCAAAGACAGCCCGCCGCAGGCGCCGGACATTTTGATTTGTGCACTGAACGCGGTTTGGGTCGCGAGTGGGTCGCAGGTTCGCCACTTGCAACACCAAGAACGGATGCCAAAGAAACCCGCCGCAGGCGCCGAACATTTTGGGTGGGTCGCGGGGTGGGCCGCGGGTGGGTCGCGGGTGGGTCGCGGTGGGTCGCGGGTGGGTCGCGGGTGGGTCGCGGGTGGGTCGCGGGGTGGGTCGCGGGTGGGTCGCGGGCGTCGCCGGTGGGTCTCGGGTAGGTCGCCGGGGGGGTCTCGGGGCGGGTCGCGGGGTGGGTCGCGGATGAGTCGCGGGTGGGTTGCGGGTGGGTCGCGGGGCGGGTCGCGGGGCGGGTCGCGGGGTGGGTCGCGGGCGGGCCCCGGGCGGGTCGCGGCGCGGATCGCGGGCGGGTCGCGGGGCGGGTCGCGGGTGGGGCGACGACAACAACAAACAACAAACAACAGACAACAGCAACAACACTCACTTTAAGACGGTTCGCTCTTATCTGCTCGCGCGTCATTCCATATGCATATCCCAAACCCTGGATACCCTCCCTCTTCGTCTGCGATCGTGCCCCCTTTTGGGGGTATATTCATTCCCTGCCGCGCGTGGTTGGTGAAGCCCTTGAAATCGAAGGGCAGCAGACAACGGGGGGGGCGAGGGCGAAGGGGTCGGGGGAAGGGAGAGAGGGGGCAAGAAGGAGGGAGGGCGATGATTTGCGCTGAGAGTGGCGATTCAGCTCGCGCCATGGGTTGCGCCAGCCACTCCAACACACGTCAACAATAAGTTTCGCCGTGGGTCGCGCTATCAACAGCGCCACGCACCGCCCCCTTGAAATGACATATCGTGGACGCCCCCGCGGGGGGGCGCGCAGCTGCGAACTGGTGTCAGAAACAAATTTCGTGGAACCCTGAAAAGAATCGGGATGTTGGGGGAGTGGGGCGGAAGGATAGTGAGATTTGCAACCGCGTCGAGAGGGGCGCGGGGGCGCGGGGCGGACTGGGGCGGAGCGGGCAAGAGCAGGGCCTCAGGGGGAGGGTCGGCAAGGAGTGGGGAAGAGGAACCGGGGGGGGTGCGGAGGGGCGGGGGGGCGCGCGGAGGAATCTGGAGGATGGGGCTGGGAATAATTCGGGAGAAATGCGGAATGCGAGCGGGGGGGGGGGGGGGTTGTTGGGGTGGGATGGGGCGGCCCGGGGAGGAGTGGGCGCCATGCTAAGAATCGAAGAAAGGCACAGTGGAGCACGAACGACATGAAACTGAAGATAGAGGGAATGAGTACAGAAGACTGGGGAAGAGCGTTGAAAAGTGATGGCAGGTGGATGCGAGCGGAGACTGGCGCGGAAACGAAGCGCGGGGGGATTGGAAGGGCTTTCCCATGACCTCTGGGGGGCCTCGGAATGGCCCCGATGACCGCCGAGCAGTCCCGGAGGCTCCGAGAACCTGGTGGGAACGCCCTGGGGGCCTCGTCGAGGGAGGCCTTCAGTCGATGCCTGCAGAAGAACTTGGGCCATTGGAGCACGCGCGTCTCAAAGGCCGGCAAACCGGGCCTCGGCAAGCGGCGGGCCGTCGGCCTGGCCGGCGGCGACGCCGGCGACGCGCGCGCCGACCCGCGGCAACCCGACCCCATGATGGACAGACAGCGGGCCCACCACGACGACGACGACCACGACGAGAGGAGGGGGGGGGAGGAAGAGGAGGAGGGAGGAGGAGGAGGAGGGAGGGGGGGGGGAGGGGGGAAGGGAAGGAGGAGAGGGGGGAAGACAAGCTAGGTGCGCTCGCGTCAACATCTGACATCCTACCCCTCCCTCCCATCCCTTCCCATTGAGCTACTTCATTGTCCTCTCACCGAATCGGGCTTCGCATCTGACCCTGTTACCTAAGAGGGAAAGGAGGAGGACGACGGCGCGATGAAAACGAAGACGACGACGACGAAGACGACGACGACGACGACAACCACGACGACGACGACGACGGCGGCGACGACGACGACGACGACGATGAGGACGACCGGCGACGAAGACGACGACGACGACGACGCGCGCCGCGCCGGAGCGGCACCCGCGCCAGCTGCCCGCTGCCGTTACGCGCGTCCCCCACCCGGATCTCAAATTTCTGCAGGGGTGAAAGGAGAGTAGCATTCATATTGGGTAATGGTAGAGTGGGTCCGATGTCAGAGTTGTGCAAGTGCATTCATATTGAGTAATGGTAGAGGTAGAAATTGCCAATCGCGAAGACCACTGCAGAGCGTAGCATGTCATAGCGGGTTGTGGCATTGCGTAGTGAGGCATCGAAACAAACACGACAACGTCGAAAAAAAACGACGACCGCAGGGTGCAGGGCGAACGAAGCCAGATTCCAGGGATACTGAAAACCAACGGGGTCCCTATACTCGCTGTCGGGGTACACGGCTGGCGAAACAAGAGGAGGCGGAGGAAGAAAAGGATCAGGAGGTTGGGGGGGATCAGGAGGAACAAGAAAGAGGTGGAAAAGGATCAGGGGGGTCGGAAGCGGATTATGTGTAAGATAGGCCGCAAAGGGGAAAGGCGCTAAGGCGAGAGCACAATTGAAAGCACCAGCGATGGAGCCCAGAGCGTAGCATGCCATAGCACTGCAGAGCGTAGCATGTCATAGCATGGCGCAGAAGAGCAATGCTGAGCGTAGTATGTCATAGCATGGGACGCGGGACGCATGCGCTGCAGCGGCAGCACGATCTGGAACGACCAGAGGCGCAGAAATGGGACCGACGCTGCAGCGGGAGCGACATGTTGAAGAGCCGAAGAGTGCCGTAGCGCCAAGAAAACAATACGGCAGCACGATTTGGAATGAGCAGAGGCGCAGACATGGGACCAACGCTGCAGCGGGAGCACCATTGTTGAAGAGCCGAAGAACGCCACTGGAGCGGAGCATATCATAGCATGGGGCCGGGGACCGTTGCACTGCAGCGGCAGCACGATTTGGAACGACCAGCGGCGCGGAAAATAGGACGAACGCTGCAGCGGGAACAACATTCTGAAGGACCGGAAAGACTCGGATTTTCAAAAACATAGATGAAAACCAAACTCCCGGGAATCCTGTGCGGAAAAGGACGCCGCCCAACAGGGGGGGGGGCTTTCTGCGGCCCCAAAAACCAACGAATCGACACCGGATGTGTAATCACCTCCAATGTTTTTGCCGGGGATCATTTTCTAGATTTGGGGCTTCTTAAAAAGGATCGAAAACGTCGGCGCTGCAGCGGGAGCACGTTTTGGAACAACGAGAGGCGCAGAAATTGGGCCAGCGCTGCAGCGGGAGCACGATTCGGAACGAGCGGGAGCGCGGAAATGAGGCCAGCGCTGCAGCGGGAACACGATTCGGAAGGAGCGGGAGCCCGAAAATTAGGCCAGCGCCTCAGCGAGAGCAGCATTTTAGAAAAAAACACAAGCGAAAACCCAACTCCGGGGAATCTTGTGTGTAAAAAAACAGTACGCGGGGGGGTGCCGAACATTTTCCGGACGCCATCAGGGGAAGTGGGAGAGTAGTATTCATATTGTGTAATTGTGGAGAAGGAGGAAGGGGGCAGCGATGGGGCCGCCGAGGGCAGAAACGGCGCCGCGAAGGGCAGAGAGGGGGCCGCGAAGGGCGACAGCCGGGCCACGAAGGGCGCGCATATTGGGCCGCGACGAGCGCGAACGAGCGGGGGCCACGAAGGGCATTCGTATATGGGCCACGAAGGGCGACGGCGGGGCTACGAAAGGCACGCGCGCGGGGCCGCGACGGGCGACTGCGAGCGGGGGCTACGAAGGGCATATAATGCAAGGTCAAAGTGGGCAGCGACGGGGCCACGAAGGGCAGCGGGCGAAGGCGACCGCGGAACCAGCGCGGGCAGCGAGGGGCATCGAAGGCGGGCGAAGGGCAGCAAGCGGCGACTGCAGTCGAGCCGGGCGGGCAGGCCCAGACGGGCGGGTCGAGCGGGCGGGTCGTTGAAGCACCAATTCTGCTTGACGCGCCGGGCTATATGCACCGGGGGCGCGATACCTGAGCGTCGAGGAGCAGCGTCTGAATAAATTGCGCGGAAGTATCAGGCGGGAGCCGCGATTCGGTGGTAATTTGAAAGTCCCCAGCGAGCGCGCGATTCTTTAATACATGGTCATGAAATATCGAGCGGGAGCCGCGATCTGGCGGTAAATCGCAAGGAGGTCTCAAGCGAGCGCGCGATGCTTCAATACATTGTGAGGAAGTCTCAGGCGGGAGCCGCTGTCGTTGTAAACCGGGGGCCAACGACGCAGTTTGACCCTCGAGACGTTCACTTGTGAGAACAGGGCGCGGGCCCCGGGAAGGACACTTCAATCGAAAAAAGAATGTGCACCGGGCGGGGGGGGTCAACGGTAATTATTCTTCGGAAGTGAGAGTTCAATCGCAACAACAACAAGAATCCGCATCGCGGAATTCCACTTCAGCCACGCACCCAGGGACAGTGAATGACCGTTCGGTTCAGCCCCCTCACTCTGATGATTGCACTTCGCTGTGCCATGTGTGTTGTTGCGGGCGTGGAGGGCGGGGGCGGCGCAAAGTCAGGTGGCGCCGTTCTGACTTTGTGTTCTCCGCTCAAGTTCTTTGGCTCGAGCATGCCCGCAGGGGTTCCTGCGGCCTCGCCCGAGTTCTTTCTCCCTTGCTCCCCGCGCGGCAGCAGCGCGGGCAATTCCGACAGTTCGGGCGGCTCTTCGTGGGAGCTGGTCGAGCTGGAGCCCCCCGACGATTGGCAGGTGCCGGACCTGCCGCCGAGTGCGCTGGAGAGCGCCGACGAGACGGCTCGTTTCGGGTGCTGGCCGTTCGGGCCCCTGGTGCGGTCGCTCTTCTCGCTGGTGAGTGATCCGATCGTGGAGCAGGATTCGGTTGACGAGCCCGAGGGTCTCGAGATCCAGATGCCAGTGGAGCCATGGTCTCGCCGCTTCTACCGCCCGAGTGCGACCGACGGTGTGGAGGTGCAGTTGGTGCGCCGCAAGAGCGGCAATGCGTGGGCCGTCATCGGCCCGGACTTGACTCTCGGCCTGATCTGCATCGCGGCGAAGACGCCTATCTTCACGGACCCAGTGGCGGGGATCCGCAGGCGGCCGATGCCCCCTCTTTCCTCAGCTCAGAGGGGCGCCTACGTCAGCCAGGCGACAGAGGGGTTGAGGGCGTCGACGGTGCCGATGTTGCCGCTGCGCTGTACCGCCCCGGCAGAGGTGGTCCGCAGGCGATGGCGGTGAACGTCCTGTATGCCGTTTTCAGCTCGGGGGCTTCATCACTCAAGACGCTGAGGTGGTCTTTGAGGAGTCCCAAGCGTTTCCTGGGTGTGCTGGCCGGGTTGTTCGCATTGTACGAGCTGCTGGTGTTGCTGGGCGTGATCGAGTATATGAAGGAGGTCTGGGTGTACACGATCAGCTACATGGTCACGGCCAAGGACGCGTTCGTGGAGAGCTCGGAGGTCGTCCAGGAGTGGGCCACCTACCTGTGGGAGTGGAAGGAGTGGGCTCAGAAGCTCATGCCTCTTCAGCGGTGGTTTACGATGTTATTGGCCCTGATCCTTCTGACCCTCTGGGCGGCCCACGAGTGGTCGGACAGTGGGGGGCGCGGAGAGTCTTCGATTGGGTCCTCAAGCTCTTCGAGTGTGGACGTGCCCGTCGGTTCGACTGCTTCGGTGCCTCCGCCCTTGCCGCCGCCTGGCTATCCTTCAAGTGGAGAGAGTGCTGCGTTGGCGGGCCAGCTGAACGATCTCGTGGAGTCCCAGAAGGGCATGATGGAAGAGATCAGCGAGACCAGGACCGCCGAGAGGACGAGGGAGTTGCGTCGAGACGTACTCGAAGCTTCCCTGGATTCGCGCGGTCGCGCGGACGCCGAGGCCAACAAGCAGGTGATCGAGGGCGCGATTGCGCGTCTGGATCGGCTCGAGGCTCGTCTGAAGGGAGAGGCCCCTGCGGAGGCTGGAGCTGGCGAGCATGGGGCTGCGATCGAGGGGGCGAGCTCTTCGGCTTCTGCAGTCGCCGTGCTCGGGTCGCCCGCGAAGAGTGCCCCCACGGCGTTGATGGAGACGCCCGAGAAGCGGGCCGCCACGTCTCAGCCAGAGGCCGTCGAGCTGGCCATCAAGCGGATGCGCTTCAAGGCTCAGTTGCCGCAGCAGGTGTTCATGGAGCAGCTGGGCGAGCACAGGGAGATCGAGCCCGAAGAGTGGAACAGCCGCATGCCCGAGTGTTACCGCCAGCGGATCTCGGCCGAGGCGCTGTCGCAGATCTACTCGTCAGGAAAGACGGCCGAGGCCTGGGCGCGGGACTTCATTTGGGACCGCGGCCTGAGCGACTGCAACACGGCGCGGGAGATGATCGCGGCCTTCGCCGCGGTGGACACGACGCAAAAGACCGATCGTCCCAGGGGGCTCCTCAACCTGGTGAGCTTCGAGCGGCCGGTGCGAAAGGGCTACGCCATTGTGAGGGCCTACCGCAGCGTGAACAGCCGCGACGACTGGAGCCGCCCCAAGGATGCCAATAACTGGAAGTCGAAGGTGGACTGGGAGGCGGCGCGTCGCTTGGACCCTCAGCTCGCCGACGAGAGCACTATTCGGCTGATGAGCGCCGAGGAAGAGATGAGGAAGGCCATGGGTCGCGACGCGCAGCTGACGAAGGCGCGCCCCGACCTGGACGGGGGCGCGGTGGCCCCGCCGTGAGAGTCATTGAGCTTCAATTGGGGCCACTCGGTTTCGAGCCGGGGGGCCCTTGCAGCTGGCGTCGTGGTGCCCCTGCGCGTCGGCTTGTTTTGGCTAGTGTATTCTTTCTGCTGCAGCTGACTCGCATCATCGCCGTCGGCTGGCCCGTGAGCTCTTGCATGACGAATTTGGGATTTCATATCTCGGCGGCGGGACATCCTGTCCGAGGTGGTGCTGTTCGCTCGCCTGGAGCGCCCCGCTTCGACTTCTCGTCGGGTGCTGTCGCGCTGGAAGGAGGAGATGGAGCTGGTGGAGACGGCGAACCGTTCTCTCTTGGCGCTGCGCCAGCTCTACCGTGGGAGTCTGGACGACAGTCTACTGGGCCTGGCCGACTGCTGGGGCCAGGGGATTGCGCCCGACAACTTGGACGGGGACCTCTCTCGGCGGGTGCTGGGAGAAGTTCGTCGCCAGTCGCCGCCGTCGACTACGCCCTCACAAGGGGCCGCGCTTCTGCGGCTGCGCCCTGCCGCCACTGCGGCGGGCAATCAGTCCCAGTCCACCTTCAAACAGAGGGCGGCCGAACTTCGGAGGAGGAGTGCTGGCGGAAGTGGACGGCTGCCGGACAGGGGCGAGACGTTTCCAGCTCAATGGGACCGAGTTGTCCTACCTCCCCCGGGGACCAGATTTATGAGTGCGAGGTCTGCGTCGCCTCGCGTGGCACAGAAGTTGGAGATGCTCAAGGAGGGGATGTTGAGAGAGGATGGCGAGGCTTGTGTTCAGGCCTGCGAGATACGCAACTACGTGGACCCGCATTTCCGCGAGAAAAAGGAAATATTGCAGCTGGCCCGAAGGATGGTTTTGGCGAGGATGCTGTGCCGCACTGCAGTGAAGGTGGACGAGGTCGGGCTCTTTTGCGCCATGAAGAAGGCGGAGCTTGTGGGGAGCGAGCCCGAGGTGACGCTGAGGCTGGTGTTCGACCAGAGGCGCTCCAACATGCGATGGCGGTCTCCCCCGTGGTGCGCCATGGGCGGCGTCAGTGCGATGTCCGAGGAGATGAAGGAGGATGGCGTGACCATGCGCTTCGGCACGGGCGACCTTCCCGACTTCTACTACACGCTGGAGCTGGGGGAGGAGCTGGCGCCGTACTTCTTGCTGCCCAGCGTGTCTGGGGATGCGCTGGACGACGCGCTGCTTCCCGAAGGCTCGTCTCTGCCTGGGGGCGGGCCCTACGTCGGAGTGAAGGTTGCGTTGATGGGCTTCTCCTGGGCGTGCTGGATGGCTCAGACGACCATGGAGGACATCTTCAATACTGGGCCCCAGTTCGGGCTTTCCTCTCTTTCAGACGGCCAGCGTCTGGCCAAAGGCGGGCCTTTACCCCATCTCAGTCGGGATCTACCTGCTGCACATTACGAGTACATCGACGACTTTAGCATCATGGGCCTGGACTTCCCGACGCAGCCTGGCGAGGAGGCGGCGACGACGGTGGAGGAGATCTGGCTCGGTGCCAAGGAGTTGGTGGTTTCCGCGGGCTTCAAGGTGCACAAGGATGCTTGCTCGGCGGACGCTCGTATGATCGGTGGCGGTATTCGGGGGGCTCGTCTGGCACCGAACCAGGACAAGATGCGGCTGGCGGTCTTCGGCATACGGCATGCGGGAGATCCTGATCCACAAGTGGGATCTACCCGACACCGTCGCGCGGATCGTTGGCATCCTGTCCTGGGGCTTCCTGGTCTGCCGTGGTGCTTTGAGCGTCTTCGCGGACGTGCACTCGCGTTGCATGGAGTTCCGGGGTGGAGCCCGGCGCGAGGTCCCGCGGGAAGTGCTGAAGGAGTTGGCTGCGGCCGCGGCGCTGGCGCCGCTGATCTCGGTGGACCTCTCGACGCCCTGGGGCCCAATGGTGATGATGTTCGACGCGAGCCTCTACGGTGGTGCGCCCATTTATACTGTGGCCACGGTGGATGAGCAGCGTCGAGAGGCACGATATGCAGTTCGAGGAGGCTGGACCGTTTGGACGGGCATTTCCTCGTCCTGGGCGGCGGACGCCTGGTGCGAGGGGGAGGCCTTCAGACGCGTGGGCACCGACGTGGAGTTGGGCACCCGGATCCGAGTTCCGCCTGTGCACGAGTGCTGGGACGACATCGCTCGGTGGAAGGAGGTCGTGCGCCGGCGCTGGGAGGAGAAGGAGCACATCAACCTGCTGGAGATGCGCGCGGGGGTGGCCGCAGCGGGGCACTCGGCCCGCACCCGTGCGAGCTGGGGGACGAGGCACCTACGCATCACGGGCTCTATGGTCTGCCTCGGCGGCTTCAGCAAGGGCAGATCGGCCAGTCGGCCCATTCTGATTTTGTGCAGGAGAATGGCCGCCCTCGACCTCGGGCGCGGCATGCGGGAGTACTGGCGCTGGGTGCCGTCGGACCGCAACCACAGCGACGGGCCGAGCCGAGGTTTTCCGAGTGGCCAGGCCCCGAAGGAGCGGAGGACGGACGAGCTGGCGTTGCCGGAGAAGGTGGCTTCGAGGATCGAGGCCCTGGCGGATTTGGCGGAGGTGGACCCATTCCAGCCGCTCAGGATGGGCGTCTCGATCCCGGTGAAGGTGCTGCGCTTCGTCCACCTCTGCAGCGGCCACACGCGCATCGGGGTCCTGGAGGACTGGCTGCTCAGGATCGCGGGCTCGCGGGGCTACCTGATGATCTGCACCGACGTGGACATCGGCTTCGGGGCGGAGTTCGACTGACGGATGTGGTCAACCTGCGGGGGCTGGAGCTGCTGGCGGAAGTGGAGACGGACGGCGGACAATCAGGCCCTTCATGCTCTACCTGGTCGCGGGCTCGCTTCCAGCCTGGAGGCCCTCCTCCGCTACGTCTGCGACGTCAGCTGCGGGGTCGGCCGGGTCTGCGAGGGGGCGGCGCGAAGAAGGTGAAGCTTGGGAACGCGCAGTTGCTGAGCAGTTTGAGGATCCTGAAGTCGATCGGGCTCAAGGGCGGCTCGGTATCCGTCGAGCATCCTGCCGATCCGGGTTGTCCGCCGTTTCCGTCGATCTTCGTGACCAAGGAGCTGATGGACTGGGAGGTGCAGTTGGGTGCCTACCGAGTGACCTTCCCGCAGTGCATGCGGGGCTGCCCCGCGCTGAAGTTGACGACGCCCACGGGGGCGGCCTTCGGGATGCGGCGGTTTGTTCGCCCCTGCGTGCACGGAAACCACTCGGCGAGCCTCTGCGGGAAGGATGAGAGCGGTCGTTTTGGACCAGGATGGCCCAGGCGTGCTCTTCCGACTTCTGCAGGATGCTGGCGGAGTGCCACGTGGACGCGATGCTGACCACGCAGGAGAGACGGGAGGCCGACATGACCGAGAGGGCCGCGGAGCAGTTGATCTCAGAGACCCTGGAGCGCAGGCGCCGGGACGCTACGTTGCTGGAGTCACTACCTGCAGCTTTCCATCGAGCCTCGGGCTGACTGGGGACGAAAGCCCCTGTGCGATGGGCCGGCCTCCGCCCATGCCCGACGATGTTCGAGCACAAAGCGGTGCAAGATTACGAAGACATGATGCAAGATCTACGGGATTGGGCGCAGCAGTGGTACAGCGACCTCACGCAGCGGGCCACCGACGGCACCGAGTGGCAGGAGTGGTGCGTGGCCTTCATGACGGATGTACTTCTGAGCGGTTCCAACGAGGCCCTGAGGCGCCTACTCATCAGCGGGCTCCCTCGCCACACGATCACCGACATCATCAGAGATCTTTGCAGCAGCGCCTGGAGGCAGACGCAAGATCAAAGGGATCGCTTCGTCGCGAGCTTTCGAGAGGGGACCCCGGCGGAGAGACAGCGGCTACAACAGGAACGCTGGACGGAGCTGTCGGATCTCCGTGCGATGTTTCGGGTTCGACTTGGTGACCAGGCGCCTGGCCATCGACGATCGCCACCTCCCAGGGAACCCGACTCGAATGATGAGCAGCCGTCGGCCGGGACCGCGTGCCGGTCCAGTTGCCCGCGGTGGTCCGTGCTCCTGGGTTGGCTGCTGCTACCTTTTCTATCGGACGCCGTCGGTGAAGAGAGGCTTCGGCACCACGCTCAGCACCGCAAGATGGGCAACACCCACCGCAGGAACGACGCGGAGGGCGCGCATCTACAGCAGGCGCAACGGCGGGAGAGAGCTACCCATGGGCTGGCCCTGCTGCCGTTCTCGGTCTCCACCAAGACGGCGCTGGGCTGCTACGTGCCCAACGGGCGCCGCTTCCTGGACTTCGCGCTGGTGGTGAACCTGCCGATGATGAGCCGAGAGGAGATCGACGACTCCGTCTTTTGATACTTGGACCGCCTGGTCGAGGATGAGGAGGTGGGCCCGTGCCGAGGAGATTTCGTTGTGCATGGGCTTGCCTACGTGTGGCCCGAGCTCTCGAAGGGGCTGCCGAGGTCCAACCGAGCTCTTCGATCCTGGCATCGACTGCACGTTGCAGGAGAAGGGGGACATCAGCCTCTCGAGCTCTGGGCCGTGCTGGACGAGGCCATGAGGTTGGCCGGGAGAGTGGGGGCCGCTGACGCCGCCGAGGTCGCCCTGGACGCCTACCTCAGGTCCGCGGAGCTGTTCGCCTTGCAGGCGGCCGACATCGTGGTCGACGTGGGCGAGGCGGGCGAGCAGATCGTGGCTCTACGACTCGGGGTGACCGAGCGTGGCGAGAGGACCAAGACGGGCGTGAGGCAGGGCGTGCTGATCGACCGTCGGCATGTGAGTGACATGCTTGTGCGCAGGAAGTCCGAGCGAGGCCCCTCGGACCGAGTCTTCAGCTGCTCGGTGGATGCCTACCGTCGGGCGCTGAGGCGAGCCTGCGACGACGTCGGTGTCGAGCACTTCCCGCCACGTGCTGCCAGGCACTCGGGGCCGAGTCATGACGCGGCAACGGGCTACAGGACGGCGCGTGCCATCCAGCGGCGCGGGCGGTGGGCTTCAGAGAAGAGCGTGCTCAGGTACATGAAGACGCACGCCCTGGTGGCCGCCCGCGCTGCGCCCCCGCCAGACATCCTTGAGCGCGGGGGCCGACTAATTCAGAAGAAGAGTTGTCGCCCTGCAAAGGCTCGTGAGTGATTCATTTCGCGTTGTGAATGATCTACGTACTTTTTGGAGCCTCGCCGAGGCAATGGACGTGCGACGGCTGTGGGAGGCGCCCGAACCCTCCCACCCAGCCATGGCGCCGCCGCAGCCAGGCGCTAATGCAAGCTACGCGGTGGCGTGGGACCTGGCACGGGGTCTGCTTCAGAATTTCAGAATTTTTTGTGGCGCAGACCCCGCCGTCACCCTCTGCCGCCGCTCTTGGCGGCATTGTGTCCACGGCTCAGGCGGAAAATTGAGAGTTCAGTTTAGGCTGGCGCCGCCTTCCGCCGCCCCCCGCTCGGAGAGAGTCAGTGACCCGTGCCTCTAAATGTGCGCTGTTGCAAACGATGAAGTTTTCGGGCCGCGGCCCTCTTCCCCCCCCCCTCCCCCGTCTTCCAAGTGGTCGGCGGGCGGGGGGGGCGGGGGGGGCGCAAAGTCGGGTGGCGCCGTTCTGACATAACACGTTATGTTTGTGTTCTCCGCTCAAGTTCTCCTTCCCCCCCTTCCCTCTTTCGCTCCCCGTTCACTTGCCTCGTCGCAGCTCTGCGGGGACCTGATGCGGGGCCTGCTTCAGAGTTCCAAAACTTTTTGCGGCGCAGACCCCGCCGTCACCCTCTGCCGCCGCTCTTGGCGGCATCGTGTCCACGGCTCAGGCAGAAAATAGAGAGTTCAGTTAAGGCTGGCGCCACCCTCCGCCGCCCCCCGCTTGGTGAGAGACAGTGATCCGTGCCTCTAAATGCAAGTTGCGCAGTATTCTTGCAGTCCGGATGCTGCGTCATGATGAGCAGCGTGATTCTTGCAGCTCGTAGAGCACACGTGGCGCTCGCTGCTTTTTCTTGAGCTGCCGCAAACCCGGAGGCCGACATCGGCGCGCGCATTCTGTTTGATGCGAACGCGCCATCGAATCATCTCCCCCTCTCTTGCACAGGAGGGCGCCTGAAGAGAGGGGGGGCGCAGGAGGAAGAGGACGAGGGGAGGGGGGGGGAAGGGTGAGAATTCACATCTTGCCGTTTTGGCATTGCTTGGCCCTTCAATCGGGGAACTCGACGACTTGAAACGCCGCGGCCCTCCATCCGGCACTTTTGCTGCCTCTTCGGCTTCAGCGCTCCAGGTTGTCTAGCTTTCCTGGTTGTGTTTTCTCCGCGCTGATCTTACGAGCAGCGATGCGTTCGCAATTCCTCGCCCTCCCGGCGCGCGTGCCGCGCTGCTTGCCATCGGCATTCGTCGGCGTCAACGTGGCCCTGCGAGCCCCCGAGAAGAAGGCGCAGGCTCAGCCCGAGTGCACCGCCCTCGACCGCGGGGAGCTGAATCGGATGCTCACATCCTTGCGGTGCCAGAGCGGCAGCACATGTAGTTGCGATGACAGAATGAATACAGCCAGCCAGAGCGGCAGCACATGTAGTTGCGATGACAGAATGAATACAGCCAAGGTATGCAAGGCGCAGCGGAGCAAGCTTGCGAACCAAGATGATAAAAGGCTTCTTGGAAATGCGGGAGGAAAACAGGCGCGGCAAGGCTGCAGATAGCCCGAAGTTTGCCGTGCATGTCGAACAGTCTTGTGACCGCGCTCAAGAGAGATAGTTTTCGAGCGAGGGCGCGTGCCTCATCCCAGCGCAGATTCTCAAGCTGAAGGGCAACGCTATCCCTACTCTCGACACGCACACGGAAGCGGTAAAATTAGCCGTCGACTTGGCGAAGAGAACGCGAGAATGTTCGACTCCAAGGAGACGCATCAATCCGTAACTCATGACGCGAATGGGGTTCTTCGTGGGGTTTTTTCGCGGGGGGTTCTTCGTGGGCCATGTGGCCGTTGTGGCAAATGCAGGTTGCTCCCGCACGCGTTTCTTCGATGCCGCGCGTGGTTCCTCTTCTCCTCCATCCCTCAGCCGTCGTCCAGTCTTAGCTTTCGCTCCACCGCGGCCTCCCCCCCGCCTCAATCCCGAGGACGAGGCCAGGGAGGGGGCCGGGGCGAATGCCCCTAGTGGCCCGTTCTAGCCCCCAAGAAGATGTATGAAGCCATCGCGGGCTCAGAAGGCTGCCGCACCTGCGGCGAGTCTCAAGTGACGATGTGGAGGCGGCGGTGCCCTGCGAGCCCTGCTTCTTGAATGTGCTGCTAATGTGCGTTGCAACCGCGCATCGAAAACCGCCAGTTCCATGAGGGGGACCCCCCGTTACGAGGTGAATTTCGAGGTGGAGTTCAGGTGGGTTCCGAGGTGGATTTCGAGATTAATTTCGTCGTGGATCCATGCGTGAACTCCGGAGAGGATTCCGAGTGAGTTTTCGATGTGTTGTTGTGGCGACCCTCGCGCACTTCGCCGCCCTCGCAGCGCCACCAGAAATCCGCGCCGGAGTCCGCATCGGGATCCACATCGATATTCTGGGCCTGCCCCGACCCCTCCCCTCGCTCCGGCCCTGGGTCGTTTCGGCGTGCGCCGAATGCCCCGGCGCGGCGCCCTGCGTCAGCGCGGCCAAGCAAGGGGGCGGCCGTCTTCGGACATGGGCGCGCCGGCCGCGCGAGGCGCGGCAGTTTTCGGAGAAGGGGCCCTTGCGTCAACGCGCCCCCCCGCCACGTGAGACCGGCGAGGGCGCCGGGGGCAGCGGCGCGAGGCGGCGGCCGGTAAAGGGCCGCCCCGGCGAGGTCCAGAGGGCAATGGGCATGTCTTCGGCGAATCAGGCGGGCAACTGAGCAGAGGCATTCGCTCGCAGGTGGCACTTTTACGGGCGTTGGCGCACGCGTGAAGTATGCGCGCGCGAAAGTAAATGTGCATGCAGTCGCACGCGTAACCTGGCGCTATCTATAGCCTTCGGCCCATCCGCCACCGCGCCTGGGCGGTGGGTCAGGAGCCCTCGAGGCGCGCGCGTGGATCTCGCAGTAGCTCTCCTAGGGGCCTCTCGGGGACCTGGGGCGGTCTCGTGGGTGCCGTCTGGGGCGCTCTCGGGGGGCGCCGTGAGATTTGTTTGGGCTTGGCTCTGGCATTTCGCGGGCTTCTCCGGGGCTTCGGGGCTCCTTTCGACGCTGCAAGTAGCGCGCAAAGGGTGACCCCTGAACGCGGCCTCTTTATCCGCGGTGCGCTCGCAGGGCGCGGCGGGCGCGGCTCTTCCTCGACGCGGGGGGGCGGCGCGTGGCGGGTCGTTCCTCGGCGCGGCCCCCATCCGCGACGCGCTCGCAGGGCGCGGCAGGAGTCGCGCTTTCTCGACGGCGCAGGGGGCGCGCAGAGGGCGGCCCCGCGGCGCGGTCTCCATCCGCGACGCGCTCGCAGGGCGCGGCCGGAGCGGTTGCAGGGCGCGGCAGGCGCGGCGCATTCTCGACGCCGGAGGGGGCGCGCAGCGGGTAGCCCCCGAGCGTGGATTCAATCCGCGACGCGCGGCAGGAGTGGCACTTCCTCGTCGCCGCAGGGGGCTCGCAGTGGGTGGCCCCTCACCGCGGCCTCTACTCGCGACGCGCTCGCAGGGCGCGGCAGGAGTGGCACCTCGTCGATGTCGCAGGCGCTGCGCAGCGAGCGGCTCCTTGGCGCGGCATCAATCCGCGACGCACTTGCAGAGCGCGGAAAGCGCGGCGCTTCCTCGGCGCCACGGGGGCGCGCAGGGGGAGGTCCTTCAGCGCGGCCTTTGTCCGCGACGCGCACGCGGGCGAGGAGGGGCAGGCGCGGGCGGGGGGGGGGGCGCCAGCCAAGGCCTCCTGATGTCCAGCGTCTCGACTGAGTGCCCGTGAGCTCGTGGGTCCTCCTCCTCCGTCAACTTGCCCCTTTTTTCTCCCGCGCAGTGTTTCCGCTACATTTCGACGTGCCGCGGGTGGTGGTTGCGGGCGGGATTTGGCCCCCGAGTTTCTCCCGCGCTGGCAGGGTTGGCTGGCCTGGTGAGCGCATGGCGCGGTCGAGTCCTTAATGTGGGAAGTCCTCGGGCGCGCCGCGGGTCGCCCCCTCCCAGGCGCGCCGTGCCCCGCGGGGGAACTTTCGGAAGTCGGGCGTCGGTCCGAGACCGCCCGCGCCGCGTGCAACTGGGAACGTTTCGCCCCGTTGAAGCGTCCGAACCATGCCGAGAGGCGACGGGCGCATGCGACTTGACTTTGCTGCGTCGTTGTCAGAGGCATGCGCCCATGGCGTCGGACGCTGCTCGCGCGTCGCATAGTGATCTGCGGCGGAACGCAATGGATCATCTGTTCGCCCACTGTTTCGGCGGCGGGCGCGCCAGCTCGCCCGGCGCCCCGGGGGCGGATTCGTTTGTTTGCGCGGCCCCCGACGGCGAAAGCGCCAGTTTGCCCTGCGCCCCCAAGGCGGCGGGCCCGTAGGTTTGAGGCCCGCATGCCTCCGGCGGCCGAGGGACCGCCCGCCGCTGCGTTTTTGTTTGCGCCCGCGGGCAACGCTGCGGCAGCGAAGACCAGTTCGCAGTTATTTCCTCGCCCCCCTCCCTCTCGCGCGCCGTCTCCGCGACGTTCCAACGCGCGGCGATGGGGCGGCCGAAGCTTTCTGTCAGGGAGTTTTTGGGGGTCTCGCGGGAATTCCCGCGGGCGCGTCGCGGCTGCCGCCCGGCGCTGGCCGTTGCCGCCCGTCGTCGCCGAACCGTTGGTCGGGGTTGCCCTCGTCGCGCGGGCTGCTCTTCGCGCCGGGGCGGCTGGGCGGGGCGCCCAGCCCCGAATTTTTCTGATCGTTTCCATGGCCGGTGGCGCGCGTTTGCGCGACGTGGGGCGCGCGCCATGCGTGTTTTCTCCGCGGCGACGCGCGCGCCTTCGCTCGCGTGGCCGCGCGCCCGCGTCTTGTGGCGCGCGCGTTCGGACATGATCGCTGTTTATTTGCCAAGAGGCAGGAGCAAATCCTCACAATGTTTGCTGAGACCTGGCAGCCTGAACTTTTACTTTTTCGCTCTTTCGCTTCCGACGGGTTGCTTGGATTTCGAAATCGCCCCCGAGAGGTTCCCAGGACACGCCCAGACGACCCCCCGAAGCCCCCGAACGGCCCCAAGAAACCCCCATGGCCCCCCAAGAGACCCCGAGGATGTCCCAAGAAGTGTGGAAGAAAACCCAAACGAGTCCATGCGAGGCCCCCAAGAGATCCCAAACGGCTTTCACAGGGCCCCAAAGAATTCCCAAGAGGCCCCGAGAGACCCGAAGAGGTCCCGCAACCCCCCCAACAAGCTCCCAAGAGGCGCTCACAACCCACCAGAAACTCAGCGACAATTCCAAAGAGGCTACTCGAGGCACCCGAAAAGCCCGCTCAGAAGTTCTTCCCCCTCCCCCCCCCGCCCTCCCTGCCGAGGCTTCTCCGCGGTGCCGCCCCCGGCCGCTGGAGGCTTCTCTGCGGTGCCGCCCCCGGCTTCCGGAGGCCCGAAGACGCCCGCTACGGCCGCCAGTCCCGCGCGCCTCTCTCCCACTGCCCCCCCTTCCGACACCCCCCTCATGTCTCCTCGCATCCTCCCAACATCGGGGGTGTAGCCGTATCGGTGCCTCTTGGGTTCCCCTGGATTCGGTGCCTGCGAGTGGGAAAGAAAGGATAGAGGGGAGGAGCAACGACAAGGGACAGTATTTGCCCATCCCTTAGCGAAACCGCCGTTACGGGGAGGGAGGAGGCGAGGGAGCTTGTAACGTCAGAATTCGCGCCGGCGCCATTTGGGAATTAGCTACCCCTTGCCATTCCCAAACCGCGCTGGCGCGAACCGTGACGTTGCAAAGCGGGCGTGGGGGGTGGGGGGGGCATCCCTGGTACCGGCCGTTATCGCAGATCGTTAAAAACAAGACTCGTTCCAAGGATGGGGGAGGGGGCTAGAGCAAGGGGAACATCGGAGAGCTGTTACTGTTCCCCGCCGCGATCTTCCTTTGCACTTGTCTCACTGCTTGCACAGTGCTGGCAGTCGCTTCGCTGGTGAAACAAATCATAAGCAGCTTGCACAGTGCTGGCAGTCGCGTCGCTGGTGGAACCAATCATGAGCAGGATGAAGATGAGGATGGAGAAGGGGAGGTCAAGGACGAGGAAGAGGAGGAGGTGGGGGAGGAGGACGAGGAGGAGGAGGAGGACGAGGGCGAGGACGAGGAGGAGGAGGACGATGAGGAGGACGAGGACGAGGACGAGAAGGAAGAGAAGGAGGAGGATCCTCGGCGGGAGGGGAAGCTGAGGAGCAACAGGGTAATGTGGAGTGAGGACAAAGGGAGGGGGGATGGGGGATAGTATAAAAGGGTAGGAGGAGGGGGCAGGAGGTCCCCAGAGGCAGGCAGGTCAGGAGGAAGACGACCTCGGAAGGGATGCCGCCCGCCGCCAGGCCCGCTGCCAGTGCCGACGCTGGCGTCTGCGCTGCGCGGCGCACCGGACCTGCCTGGGGATGGGCCAGAGTCCGTTTCGGTCCCCGAGGAAGCGGAGGGGGAGGAGGCGGAGGTGATGGCGGCTGCGGAGGAGGAGCAGGACCAGGAGGAGGATGAGGAGTAGAAGGGCGAGGAGGAGTAGGAGGAGGAAGGAGAGGAAGAGGGGCAGCAGGAAAAGGGAGGGGCCGAGGGTGAATAGGACGAGGAGGATGGGGGATGTGCAGTCGGGAGGGGGAGGGGAGACGGGGGAGTGTGGGGCAGGATCGGGGGAGAGGATAGTGCAGTCCCGCTGAGCAGGCATTTTTCTTGGAACCAACTTGGAATTGTCTTCCGGACATAATTGGGCATCCTGCTTTCAATTTTGGGCATTAGTAGAAATGTTGGGCTAGCGTGGTGGCATTTTGGTGCCCCTGTGGACAATCTTGGGACCGTGGGGCTGTCCTCAAAGCCATCTTGGGAATTGATACAAGGAACGCAGTGAGCTGTTCAACTCGCTGTCTTCTGGAAACGCGATATCAGAGACCATCTTGGAGGTCGTGGGAGGCCCTGTAAGATTTTGGAAGTCCTCTCTGGGGGCCTTCTCTCTTGGGAGACTGCTGGCGGTCTCGGCGGCCATCTTGGGCGACGGCGCTCCTAGAGCTCCTTCGATACCCCCATCTATGACTCTTTGGGGGGCCTCTTGTGCCTCTCTTGGGAGCCTCTTGGGCCTCTATTGGGAGCCTCGAAGGCCCTCTTGGTCAGGTCTTCGGGCCTCTTGGGTGGCTCTCTCAGCAACATTTGCATTCTTCACTTTGGGGAAGTACAGGATACATCCATGCTCGTTGTAATCAAACACATTACATAGTGATCACCAAGCCGAGCATCAAGGATGAGGCCCTCTTGGGGGGCCTCTTGAAGCCCTCTTTGGGGCCTGTTGGGCCGTCTGTGGGCGATCTTGAGCGTCTTGGAGCGCTGTCGGGCCGTCTTCTCGAAGCCTCTTTGGGGCTTCTTGGGGCCCTATTGCCCAGTCTTGGGGCCTCTCAGATGGAGAAGTCAGGACAGGAAGCCCGAGAACGCGCGAGCACGCTCTGTAGATTTGAAATGGTTGTAGCCCTGTCCCCCATCTGAATGTCTAGTACCCTGGGGACCACTCGACTTCGTGCCTCGAGGCACGGTGAATGATACCCATACCACACATGAGGTGCATATATATGTCTATATATATATATATATTCGTATACATAGTCCATGTTGTCCTAACCAGTTATGGTATGGCATGACATAGGTTCATTATGTAAACAACCCCTTATCGGCCGGGACTGTGTTGCGTCATACGATGGCCAATAATAGGTAGGGAGAACTAGAGGGGACTCGGATGCAGCGCAACGCAAGGATCAAGCACAATCCCCCCATCGGAGGCACATGCGTAAGACAGTTTTCAACAACCCATCCGCGCAGCGTGGGTGTCCCGTACGGAGGCTGGTGAATTGCATCGCTGTTTTTTAGCAGTCCGAGGATAGGTTGTGAATCTCACGTGTCCGCTGGAGACAGGGATCGAGCGGGTCAACGATCAAGCGGAGGAGGCGGAGAAGTGGTTGGCGGAGCGGTTTAAGGTTCAGGGAGGCGGTTGAGTCAGGGAAGAGACAGCCAGCTCAACCTCATTGCTCCACACAATTGTTTCCCGTCCTCACACTTTGTCTCTTGTTCTCTATCGCTCTTCCTGTTGCTGTATCCCTCTGTGTGTGTGTCTCTCTCTCTCTCTTCCTCCCTGTCCGCTCTCCGTCTCTCTCTGTCTATTTCTCTGCCTCTCTCTCTCTCTCTCTCCTCGTCCCTCCTTGCCCTCCCTCTGCCTGTGCCTTTCCTTCTTCCCCAGGCACCGATGGTTGACTGAGCCTCGCATGCGGCCAGCGCCCCTGCAAAAGGGCGCCTCGCTATGCCTGAGGTTGTCACAGCTTTCGCCGCGTTTCAGAAGCTTGCCCCCCCCTGCCTCATGCACAATGGAATCCACTCGAGCCTGCACGATGCCACCATTGTCGTCACATCGCTCGCAGCCAGCCCCCAATTGTTTTTGCCTCGGTCTAAGTCTGACATCAACTGGTCGTGGCCATGATTTTGTATCGCAGCGTCGGGTGACACAGCTACAGCTATCCCACTGCTAGTGAACCTCACCAGGTTGGAGCCGGCACATCGACTCCTCTAGAAACCTTAGCAATCCAGAGCGATGTGTTTTGGCAGGTCTTGAGGAGCCCACTGATGCCTTCCACTTCGACCATCCCCCCCTCGTCTCCCGCCTTGCCCTTCCCCCCTCACGTCCCCATCCGCCGTCCCCTTTCCCTCTTTCCCTCCCCAACAACCTTCTCCCTGCGTCCCGCCGTCGCTATCCGCGCACTCTACGCTGGACAGCACTGTTGCTTGGCGATGGCGGGCCAGTGGTGGGAGGGGTTCGCGATCTCCGCGGGTATCCGTCAGGGGTGCCCTCTCAGCCCGCTCCTGTTTGTGCTCGTAACGGAGCCCTTCAACCGCCAATTAGACTCCGTGGCAGGCCGCCGCGAGCGTTGCGCCTTTGCCGACGACCTCGCCTTGGTGGGCGCCGACGGCCGCACGGCGTGGCCACAGCTGCACGGCCTCTTCGAGCTTTTCGCCGCGGCGTCTGGTCTGCACCTGAACCTCGCGAAGACGGTGCTTCTGCCTTTGTGGACGTGGCAGCCCGGGGCGGCAACAGAGTTATGGCGGCGGGCGGTGCCGGCCTGGGGCGCAGCGCGCGTCGCGTACTCTGGCACGTACTTGGGGTTCGAAGTTGGCCCCGAGGCGGCGGACAGTCGATGGAATGCCCCCGCTCGGAAGTTCAAGGAGGCGGTCTGCAGCTGGGATGGGCTCACACCAGGCATGCACCTGACGACTCTGGGATACAACATGTTTGCCATCTCGAAATTGCAGTATGTCGCTCAGCTGCACGGGGGGTCCCCCGACTGGCAGGCATTGGAACGATGGGCGATCCAGAAACTTTTCCTGGGCCGTATGGATGCCTCCCGCCGGGGGTAGCCCAGCATCTGCGGGATGAGTTTAAGATGCCATGCCAGCTGCAGTCTCTCAATTTCGGGGCCTGCCCAGTTCTGGGTGGCCCTCGCGGGAGGGGACCACCGTCGCCGTATCCGCCTGGACGAGTTGCGCGTCCGCCTGCAGCGCTCGCGCTACCGCACCACAGCGTCGTGGGACATCGACTGGAGATGGCAGAGCTGGTTCACCGGAGGCCCGGCTCAGAAGCTGCAGGCCGCGATGGATGCGCTGGCGCGACAGAGGCGCGAGCGTTGGAGCAGGGGCTGGGCCGACCCCCCCCCTTGTCACCCTGGCGACACGGTTGCGGGCGAAGCGGCGGTTTCAAGCCTCAGCAACGAGTCTCCTGCGGCGCCAGCACTGGCTGCGCACGGGGTATGCCCAGCTGAGCGCCAGGGTCTGGGAATGGCGCGACCCTGGCTCCTTGCCAGGTCCACGGACTGAACGCTGCAGGCTGGATGTGCAGCGGCAAACGCTGCCACGCGTGCGGGCGGCCATGCTGCGCACCTGGCTGAACGGATGGTGCGCCGGCCGCCGCTTCGGCGCTCGCGATGGACGGTGCGCGTTTGGCTGCCGGCTGGGCGAATATGACGTGCGTCATTACTTTTGCTGCCCGGTGCTGCGGCGCTTCGGGGTAGCCAAACTGGGCCTGGCCGATCCTGCTAGCCCGGAGACTCGCACCACCCGTGCCCTCCTGTGGGAGCCCGGCACCCCCGCCGCGGAGGTCGCTAGCGCGGCCACGATGGTCGCCGTGGGCCACAAAACCCACGCCATTTTGCGGCACGCCGCCAGCCGGGGCAGCCTCGACGTGCACAGGCTTTTCGCAGAGGTCTTGAAGCAGTTGCAGACCTCCAGGGAACACGCCGCGGCAGGCGCAGCCAGCGACGGCGAGTGAGCGTGCCCTACCGCAGGCTACTGCGGTTTTCTTCCTCCCCCTCCTCCTCCTCCTCCTCCTCCTCCTCCTCTCCTTCTCTTCCTCCTCTTCCTCCTCTTCCTCCTCCTCCTCCTCTTCCTCCTCCTCCTCTTTCCTCCTTGCATGATCGTGTTTTTTTTTTTTTGTCCCAGCAGGCCGCGCAATGCTGGTGACTCTCCGAACGCATCCAATGCGAACTTGGGCGTAACGAGGATTGTCGCTTCACGTTCGTGGCACATGACGGGCCCACGAGCCGCCCAGCAGGGAGACGGGCGATTTGCGCAGATGACGACGAAGACCGATGGGAAGTTCAGAGTCATCACCCGCAGCGTCACGGTCGGAGTTTTGCATGCTGGCACTCACGCGCTCGCTCTAGTGGCGCGCAGCGCCCACGCCTCCCTGACACGAGGACCCCAAGGATTCCACCGAGAAGGGGGCGCTCGCGGAAAAAAGCCGCTTCAGATCGTGGATCGTCCAGCTGAGCCTGATGCACGAGGCGCGCAGCGCCTGGTCAGCTATGAAGGTCATGGGCTGGCTCGCTGGCATAATCTTCCAAACGCCATGCAGTTCTGGCCTGGCCAAGGCTGTGCTGAGCATTACATTCGCCACTGGTACTCACTTCGCAACGCCACGCGGGGCGATGGAACAATTGTTCGCGCCGACAGGAACAAGGGCACCAAGACGGCCCCTGCGCTTGAGAGAAGGGACCTTAAGAGGGCCACCATTTGGGGCCCGAAAGCCTGCCGGCGCTTTGTCTGCCCTTGCGAATATTTTGTTGGCCACAGACCCGCGCGTCCGATGGGGCGACCATCGAGGGGCCCAACTTTGAGAACACACAGTGGGTCTGGTCTCCTGGAGATGGCCTGTGTCGCAGGGCGGGCCCGACGAACCATTTTCCCGCAGAGTGCTCGACCAAAGATGATTACCAGCCGATCACCCAGGACGGGGCTAAACGGATGCAGCGAGCGCGGCAGAACCTCAACAGCAATCACCGCCTCAGGAAAACAATCGAGAATATCATGGAGAGGCGGCTGAGACACCACACGCGGGGTAATCCGCTTCCTTTCTCTCATGAAGGCGCTGGCCTTCCAGAGGGCGATGAAGGGGCTGCTCGCGCGGGTCTGGCCGAAGCAGCGGGTCCTACTGTCGCTGCTCTTGCTGCACCGGAGTACGCCTGCGATATTGAAATCAGCGACGAGGCTGTTAAAAAAGTAGACATCTCCTAGAGGATAACAGCGGGCATGGATCTTGCCCTAGAGGATAACAGCGGCTGGATAATTACCATCGCACGCAGAAGAGTCAACGCTGAACAGTGCGACTTGGACTGCAAGACTGGGGCCGAAATCAAGAACATGGCAGTTCACCAGAAAAGACCCGCTTCCGCAAGATGAGCCAGCAGCCCGCGACGCGGGGGGGCCCGCGGCACCATCTTCTGCGAGGGCGCCGCAGATGAACCGCCGATGGGCCCGGGGCCCCCGAAGAGGAAATCGGGGAAGGGCGCTGATCTATCCCCAACTCCGAGTGCGCCGAGGTCTTTGCGGATCGAATCCTGCCGCCTTTCATTGTTGCCATAGTGGCCCCCCTTCCCACGGCCAGTGGCCCCTGTCTCCAGACAGCGCCTTCGGCCCTTTGCCCCCCCCGCCGACCTTCCGCGCGCAGGCGGGGGTTAGAGGGGGGGGGGGGGGCGGGGGGGGGGGGCGGGGGGGGGGGTCGACGACGCGCGGGGCGCGGGCAGGGGTGGCGGCGAAGGGCGGACGCGCGAAGGCGAGAGGGCGGTTCGCAAGGGAATTGGGGAGGGCGGAGGGTCTAGATCCCCCGTCGGCGTTGGCGCTCGAACCCTGGCCGGCGCCTGCCGCCCCCCCGTCGTCTGGGTGAGGCCCTCCTTCTCTTCTCCCCGAGTCCTTTTGGCTTGTGGCCAGCGCCCTCGGCGCCTGCGCGGGGCGCGGGGGGGGGGGGGCGGCCGCCTGCGCTGGCGCGCGGGGTGGCCTCGCCCAGTGTTTGCAGTTTTTTCTGTTCTGCTAAAGCAGAGGTTGCGCGATGGCCGCGCGCAATGGCAGTGGCCAGCGGGCTAGGTTAACGCGCGACGGGCGCGGGCGCGCAGAGCACAGTGCAGCATTAGAGAAGAAGGGGCGCAAGTGCACGCGCGGGCGCCTCGCGAAGCTCTTCTTCGAGCCCGAACCCGACCAGCGGCAGCGCATGCCAGACAACGCCCTGAGACAGTTGGGGGACAAAGAGGTTGCCGCATCGCCCAGGCCAGCGGGCGCTCTAGCCCTGCTTGAGAAGTCGTTTAGCAGCGCGGGTGACCCCCTCCTCCTCAAGTTGTCGAAGGACGAGGTAGTCAAGACCAAGGCTAGCATGGGCCCGACGGTCACCCCAGATGAAGCCCTTTGCCATGCATCCGAAGCGTGGCGGGATGCTTCCATGCAGCACGGCCAGGCGGACAACGCCGCGGTCAAAGCCAAAGAGAATTTGGGGCGAGCAGAGCAGCGAGCACGCGAGGCAGCGCCCGCACTCGCCAAGGCGGAGGAGAGCAGGAGGCTCGCGGCGCTGGTCGTGGCGCGTGAGGTGGGCGCGGGCGAGTCGTCGTCAGCTGCCTCTTCCGCTTCGTCCGCCGACGCCTCTGGTCTGCTTTTCGGCGTCAAGATTGACGAGGCGTTCTCCCAGAACCGAGGGGATCTCGAGTGCGAGGAGGGCGAGCGGGAGGCCTTTCGCGCGCTCGAGAAGCAGCTCCAGGAAGCCACGCTGCTTTCCGAGGGCAAGCACAGCGATGTGCGGGCCCGGCAAGAGCTGCTCGCGGCCAAGCAAGCGGGCGCCGCGGGCGGAGCGCCAGCGGCCGCGGCCGAGGCCCCGCAGCCGCGGGCACGGGCAGGCAGCTTGCAGCGGGGGCCGCCGCGGGGGCCGACAAGGCCGCGGCGCAGAAGCTGCAGGGGGCCGCGGACAGGCTCGGCGCGACCAAGCTCGCCGCGGCGCAGGAGGCTGGGCTGGCTGCCAAGCCGTCAAGGGCGGAGCGCAGGCGTGATCAGCGTGGTCTTCGGC